TCAACTCTCTTCAATAAAAACAAACTGAAATTCATCTCATATATTCTGGTTTTAGTAAAACATTGAATACATTGCAGCATTGAAAAGTTTAAGACACAAGAAGTTGGGCTGTTCTAACAACAGTCCCAGAGGACAATCATATGGAATCATTCACTTCAAAATCTGGATATCTGTCAAGATAAAGATCATTCATTTACTCTCAGTGCTGTCTGTATCTGTAGGCTTTGTTTAAACATAGACACATGTATATATGTGTATATATATATATAAAATATGTGTGTATGTGTATGTGTATGTGTATATATGTGTGTATATATATATATATATATATATATGTATAATAAAGATGGACAATTTGTTCTGAGCAGGTGACTAAGACTTTTTAACATTTAAGGCTCAAACATCCAGCATTTAGATGGATGAATTTAGGCAAAGAACCATCTTGGGAATTAACCTTTATTCATGCACCTGTACTCACAAAGAAGTTCTGCAATAATATCTATGTGACTGATTAATCAACTTATTAAAATTTTGGAGGAGGTAATTGGCCTCCCAAGAAGAATCAGGTGATGTATTCCCTATGACCTGGGCAAGGAAGTATTCATATCTCCATAGGAAGTCCTTTCTCTGAAACATATGTAAGTCTGGTCACATATTTGCAAGAAACGCAATAAATATATATCCAAAAATGAAAAACTGATGATGAGAAGGGATATCAGCATAATCAGATAAGTGCAGAGGTGACTATAGGAAGAAAGACTGAAAGAGATCAACTTGTTTAGCTTGGTAAAACAAAGGCTAAGAAAGGATGTGGTTGCTTTCTAAGCCCTGGATAAAGCAAGATGCAAAGAGGGAAAGAACTACTCATACTAAAAGGGAATTGCTGGCACAAAATCAAAAGTCTACAAACCCATAGCAAAGAACAGTTGGCAGGATGTCAGAGGAGCACTTCAAAACCTTAGAGGAATTACTTTCCAAGAGGAATAATGGGCACAGCATATTGAATTTATAAATTAAAATTATTATTTTTACAATTAAAATTTAAATATTTGAATTTCAATATTTAAGATTAAATTGTGAGTGATAAAGGAAAGGACTGGACTTGACCTAAATTAAGTTTTCTTGTGTTATGCTTTCATTCAAGGATTGCCCCTTCTTGGCCCATGTGTTGATTCAACCCCATCCTTCCCTTCCCCTTATCCATCTTCAAATCAATCATATTACTCTCCACATCCCCTCAAGCCCTTTGTCTCAACCAGCTCCTCCTGTCACTCTCCCTTCCCCTACCTCTAAAATTAACATTCCAAGGCAGGCATCAGACAAGACAATTTCAGCCCAGGCATTTGTGGAGTTTCCAACCTCAGCATTGTTTTGCTGAACACATCCTTCTGTGTGAAGGGTAACTGGAGTGGTCAGAAGGAGACATTTCCCTCACTGAATTTTCTTTGATCACTGCTCCTTCCAGGATTTTCTGGGCCTGACCCCAAGAGTAAATTTCATAATCAAGAATCTCCCGAAAAACTCAATTCTTGTAATGTGGACATGAGATGCTGGTTCTGGACAGGGTGTTATTAGCACTGACAGGAGGAATTGGGAAGGTGCTTCACTCTTACATTTGCTGTGTTATTCCCATCAGAATGAGCCACAGAGAGGCTTGCACACTCATCTGCCACTGATGCTTAGCCTGCAGCACTTCAGCCTCAATTGCCAGCCTGTCTCAATGGAAGTGGATCCATTTTTGTCACAGGAAATGCATGCCACGTTGTGCAAAATTATTCCACTCCCATTACAGTTGAATGAGAAAAATTCTCCTTTGCAAGGTTTGCATCTATTTTTGGGTGTAACCTAAATATGGAATGCCAAGTCACAGAGAGGTCACTATGCTCTGAATGTAGAAATATCTCACAGGCCTTTTGTGCAGCACAATGGCCAACACGAGCAAACAAAAGAAGTGGAGCAATCCATGGCTACATGACAATCCCAGAAATCAGTCAGGGAACCACTGCTTACTTTAGTAATCACTTGTGCCTTTGTCTCCTGCACAGCACAGCAGCGTACTCAGCTTTTCACTTATGCCATGCTGCAGAAAGACACAACAAAATACTGAAAAAGATACAATTACAGTTTACTCTACTGCTCTTATGGCCATATACAGAGCTATTCATATCTCTAACCCAAAGAGAAAATATGAAAGCTCAAATGGGTCGCATGCGTCTGCATGTGTAAAATCATTCAAACCTATTGTTTAATTCAGTAGCAAAAGCAGAACAGGAATAAAGAAATCGACATGAATTTTGAAAATACATCGTATTTCTAGAAATTCAATTAAATTTTCATATATACAGCCCTTTTTCTATCCTGTATGTAGTGAAAATTGTAATCACCTTCTCAATTAAAAAAAAATAAATAAATAAAAATCAGGTCTATTTAAGTTCTGCCAAACTTGTAATTTTTAAATACTTTTCAGTGCTTTGAGTGATAACTATGAAGTTGCTCCTAACGCCATTTAAATTTTTGTTGCTTTCTTTTTGTTGCATTTATATTCTTCAGGAGCAATACAATCACCCCACCTCAAAAGCTCAAAGGGTCATGTAGGTTTATGTTTTTAATTCCAAATGAATCAGTCTGAAAACACTTAAAGACTGAATTTAGCCAACATCCAAAATTAAATTTTAAATTTTTAAACCAAAATTCCTAATGGCAGATACGTACATACATACATATATGTGTATATATAATTCTACAGCTCAAATCACTGGAATGATCAGCACCAAATTAATAATACCCAGCATGACTTTAGTTTCAAAGGTAGATGGATTTTTGCAGTGTCTGCCTCTTCTCCCCTACTCAGCTCAATTAATGTAAAGCCTTTGGACTTTCCACATAAGCCATATCCATGGTTGCCCATCTCTGAGTATTAGAAGCCAAGGAAATAAAATTGCCAAAGATGACATCTAGGATTTATTTTGCCCACTATCAAAAGCTGCTAAAAGGTGTTTCATGTTACAAGTTTAAAAATTCACCTGAATTACTGAAATACAGCAAGATGCAATGAGACACATTACAGTTGTTCTGATTATGGAGATTAGGGATATTTGGGCATTTTTATTATTATTTGGTTCTTTAATGTGTTGGTAACCTGAGTTTCCAGATCTTGCTCAACTGGAACAAATGAAATGGGTTGTGACAGTTTTTTGAGAGGTTTTGTTTGGGTTTTTTTGTTGTTGTTGTTATATATATGTCATCACTATTATTTGTTTTGCAATTATGAACTTTACTCTCCAGTCAAAGTTACACCCCCCAGATACTGTCCGGGCTCTTGCAGACACCTTCTGAGTCAAGATATTGCCAAAACACTTTTCACCTCCCCATTACAAAGGTTCTAACTCAACTTTTGTTTGTTTTTCAGATCCTCAAATATTCAATGATATTCCCAAAGTATCCAATACATTAGGTACAGATTCTTCTTTACATACTGCCCACTGCTATTTTCCTAGACTCTACAGTTTCTTAAGGAAGGACATCAACTCTTCTGCTTTTGCAAGACCTCCACACACCCCTCTTTGAACAGTGAGAAACCTAAAACATCTGCAACCCTCTGCTGCTGCAGGAACAGAATTTAAATCTAATCATGAATGATTAAACACTCGGAAAACCATCGTGTGTAAATCAAATCTGGCCAACACATAAATAAGGGAAGGCGTGATGAACTAATTGCATTATGAAGAGCAAATTCGGAACTTATCTAGGAGGGAAAGCTTACCAAAATTCACTACTTGGAAATTCAAGAGTTATAAACCAAAATGTTATATAGTTGAATGTATATTTGATTGTCCCAAGAAGTTATTGAAGCTACTCTTACATCAAGGTTCAAAAAGGAGCTGGGCATTTACATATATTTAAAGATACAATAAAGATTTCAAAGGTGAAAATAAATATAATGGCTACAGATTTAGGACAGCCTGTAATAGTTGTAATCTAGAATAAAGAACAGCAGCAGAAATCAGATTGCACCATGTCTGTCTAACCTGAGTTCTTAAATTTCTCTTGGAAACATCTGGAGCAGCTCCTACCACACACAGAGTACTGGCCTGGAAAGACCCAATGGTGGTCAGTTACTGTTCTGCACACCAAGGAATTTGACAGTCTGGAGGCAAAACCTCTCAAAACTTCATAAAAATATAAGGATGACTCACATAACCTATTAAAAATAGATATAAGACAACTGAATATTGGACAAGTAATGCAGCAACACCCAGGAGATTAGGCCTGCAGACACAGCCCACCGTGCAACCCTACGCTGTGATCACAGGAGGATATTTTCTCCTGCAAAGTCACTCATCATACTACTGAGAAGAAGCCAGCTTGGTCAGAGGCCTGGAAGAGAATGATTTTAGATTCACAAAACCTATGGGTTGCTTAGAATGTGAGATGAGCACTCCAAGTCACATTTCCTAAAGAGGTGTGGTTATGGAATTACAGCTATTCTACCACAGAGTTACCTTAGGCATTGCAAACCAGCATCTTGGTTCAACAAAACACTCCCCCTAAATTAAAAAAAAATTCTCAGGAATGTCAAGGTGGGGATAAAAAAATATTTTAAAAAATCACAGACTCTACACAGTGTATCTTAGAACCATCCATTGATTAGAAACTTGCATGGACTCTTAACATGCCCCTTCCTAGCTCTCTGAAGACAATGGCTTGGCTTGCAAGGTATTTTGTCTTCACTTACACCTTTACCTTCAGTTGTGTCTGAAGGTCCTTTAATGTTCACAGCAGAAAAAAAAAAATCTCTTTTGCCATCCCATGATAGTATTTCAGCCAAAGAGATTCTTGGCTTTAGGAAATACATCAAAGAAACTGAAATTTCCTCCTGGTGCCATGAATTGACAGATGTTTTTCTGCAAATGCCCTCAGCATGTTCTGCACTGAGCAGCCTAGTGCAGACACAAGGCCACGTGCCTGGGAGAAAACAAGTGAAAGGTAGAAGCACTTACCACGAGGACAGCGCTCAACCGGTCACTTTGGACCTGCTGCACTTGGATGCAGGGTCCTGGCACTTGTAACCTTGAGCCACTAGGAACATTCCCAGCATCTCCATTTGGGATGCTGCTGTTGCTAGGCCCAAGACCTACAGATGCCCTGTACAAGTAGGTGTGAGTGAGTTTACCCACACCAGTGACCTCCAGCATGTCTGGAGGCAGGTGGGAGCTGGGAAGCATGTGCACACTGTAGCAATACTTTTGGTAGTCCTCAGCTGGGCAGCAGCAGCCACTGCAGCAGCAAGTCCGGCACCGGCAGAGCCGGATGATGGCGAGGAAGAAGATGAACGCCGCGAAGATGAACGAGACACAGGAGAGGGAAACGATCAAGTAGATGTTTGTGGTGTTGAGCAGCGGTGGTGGCTCCCCGCTGTCATCGAAGTCCGGCAGTGCCTGGGGCAGGGTGTCAGCCAGCAGGATGCCCACCGTCACAGTGGAGGAGAGCGGCGGGTCCCCGTGGTCCCGCACCACCACGACCACCTTGTGCTTGAGGAAGTCGGTGGAGCGCATGGAGCGTGTGGTGCGCAGCTCGCCGGTGTGCGGCGACAGCTGGAATAGGGTGGAGTCAGAGGAATGGGCGAGGTGATAGGAAAGCCAGGCATTCTGCGCATTGTCCTCGTCATCTGCCACCACTTTGGTCACCAGGTAGTCCTCGTCAGCCAGGCGGGGCACAACTTCCACAGCTACAGAGCCGTTCTGGCTGGTGGGGTAGAGGATGGCTGGGGCATTGTCATTCTGGTCTGAGATGTAAACATTCACTGTTATGGCAGCACTCAAGGCTGGTGACCCATTGTCCTTGGCTTCCACTTGGAAATGGAAGCTCCTCAGCTGCTCAAAATCAAAGGCACGTTTTGCATAGATGCTCCCATTGGCCAAGTTCATAGACAAAAAGCTGGTCAGGGCACTGCCTGCAACTGTGGAATTCCTGAGCACGTAAGAGACCCGTCCATTCTCCCCTATATCAGGGTCAGATGCCGAGACCTGGTAGAGAAAAGCACCAAGTGGATTGTTCTCCTCCACAAACACATCGAATGCACCAGCACTGAAGACAGGGGGGTTATCGTTCACGTCAGAAATCTGCACCCAAACAGTCTTCTGAGTGCTGAGAGGAGGAGAACCCAAGTCCGTGGCAGTAATGGTGATGTTGTACTCACTGATCAGCTCTCGGTCCAGAAGCTCACTGGTGACAAGGCTGTAGTAGTTTTGAAGGGAAGGCTTTAACTGGAAGGGAAGGTTTTCAGATATCTGGCATGTTACTTTCCCATTCTCCCCAGGGTCCTTATCCAAAATACTCAGCAGAGCTATCACTGTGCCAGGAATAGCATCTTCAGGAATGGGACTGGAAAGGGATGTAATTGTAATCTCTGGGCCATGATTGTTCACATCTGTGATTTCCACCAGCAGCTTAGCTGTGCTGGACATGCCAAATGCCCCATTATCCCTTGCCTCAATCAGCATCTCGAGAAGGGGTCTCTGAACAGCTAAAACGCCATTGACTGTCACCTCCCCAGTGTGTGGGTGAATTGAGAACATTCGCTGTAAGTCAGCAGAAGTTGTATTGCTAAAGGAATACCTGACCTCTCCATTTGGACCTTCATCCAAGTCCGTGGCGTGCACTTGGACTACCAAAGTGCCACTGGGGGAGTTCTCCAAGATACTCGCCCTGTAGACGGAATGCTCAAATTCTGGTGCATTGTCATTGGTATCCAGCACAGTCACAATGACCGGGACATCACCAGACTTTGGAGGGTTTCCACCATCTTTGGCTGTAAGCAGAAGTCTGTGAGTGGCTTGCTGCTCCCTGTCTAAGGCTTTCTTCAGCACCAATTCAGGATATTTACTCCCATCCCCACGTATCTGCATTTCCAAATAGAAATGTTCATCAAGGCTCAGAGTATAATTCTGGACACTGTTAGCACCTTCATCAAGATCTTGGGCGCTGGGGAGTGTAAACCGTGCCCCAGGTGACAGGAATTCTGGCATGTTTATATGATATTCACTTAAGGGAAAGCTGGGGGAGTTGTCATTTATGTCCAAGACTTTGAATTCCATCCTATAAAGCTCTAGAGGGTTTTCTAACACGAGCTCGTAATTCAGAAGACAGACAGACTTTAACTCACAAAGCTGCTCTCTGTCTATGGGCTCGTTAACAGACAAAGCCCCTGTGCTGGCATTTATATTAAAATATTGCTTACTTGAACCGGTGATCATGCGAAATTTCCGGGCTGAAAGTGTAGCTGCATCTATTCCTAAATCCTTTGCTATGTTCCCAACAGACGCTCCACGCTCTGTTTCCTCGGCGATGGAATACACTATTTGCCCGTCCGCGGTGCAGCAAATAAGGCAGAAAACCATTAAATAGCCCCGCATGCTTCCTCCCCTGGCTCAGCTCCCCGCAGACCGGCTCAGCAGGAACATAATCCAGAATTTCAGCAAACACCCCGCAAGTTCCCGGCGCGAAGCGATCGGGCACCGGGGCGCACCGGCGGCGAGTTCGGTGCAGGCGCGGGAGGCTCCGCGGCGGCTCCGCTCCCCCCGCGGCCGCGCCGCCGGCTGCCGTGCGGGGCTCGGCGGCAGCTCCGCAGCGCTGCGCCCGCCGCCGCCGCTCGCTGTGACCGGAGCGCCGGCCCCGCGCGGCTCTTAGGCGGGCGGCGGCGGCGGCGCCACCCAGAGGCCGCGGAGACACCCGCGCCGCCGGGGGAGGGGGCCGCGCTCCCCCCGCCGCCGCTGTCCCGCCGGCCGGCGGCTGCTTCTCCTCCCTTCTCCTCCCTTCTCCTCCCTTCTCCTCCCTTCTCTTCCCCTCTCTCTCTAACGCCCCGACGGAGATGGAGCGGGGGGCTGCGCGCAGCCGAGTGCGCGTCATGGATGTGTTTCCGTGAAACAGAGCTGCCGAGCGGAGCCCCCTCCTCCCTCCGCTCCTTGCGGGAGAGGCAGCGAGAGGATGCGCTGCCGAGCGCTGTCAGAGAGCCGCGGCGGAAGGGAAAGGTGGATGAGAAGTGACAGGCATCGGCTAAACATGGGTCAGCACAGCCCAGACACGCTCCGGCTGAGCACAACATTTCCCAGAGGGGTTTTAAGAGTACAATTAAAGGAGGCAGTCGACTCTACTCCTGGTAAACTTTGCAAAAAAATAAAGGGGAAAAAAAAAATAGGGAGAAAAAAAGAATATGAAAAAAGGAAAAAGAAAAGGGCTCTTTCCTGCTTCACTGCTTCACCTTCACCAGTGGAAATTAACACCAGTTATTGGAGAGAAGGGTCTCTGCTCTGGCAGTCAGATCACCCCCAGCCACAGATGAGCTCCATCCAGCCTCCCGAAGCAGGATATTGGTGGCTCGGGTGGCAGGGGGAAATGGGAGGCTGCAGAAGTTCACTTACTTGCATAGAAATAAATATCGGCACCAAAGAGGTTTTACATTTAGGACATGCCCAGGAATTGTGGGGAGAGATGAGCTGATACCACACAGAGACTGCAAATCATGAGTGAAGAAAAAATAACATCAAAGCTCTCTGGTCCTCCAGATTTCCACACAGAGGGAACAGTTACCAAACACACCTCAAAGCAGGTACGAGAGGGCAGAAAAGCATTTGAAAATATCCTCCTGGAAAACCTTCCTGGAATGATCTTCAGCAGCAATTTATACAGAGGGGCCTTGGCAGCACCTCCATCTCTTTTGTTTCCACTTCCCTTCTGTGAGAGCTTGTTAGGATGAGATCCTGACCGATCAAAAGCAAGAGGCTATAAATGTGTAACAAGGACAGATCTTAAACCTTCTCATATTCATTTTGTTTCTTTCTGCAGCAGAGAATTTCTAGGTAAGTGAAACAGAACACTTCAATTATATATAGTATACATAGGGCCTTTCAAAAATGGAGAAAATCTGGAGTACAGCCAAAAGTTATACATTAAATTAAAAAAAAATAAATCAATACATCTGTTTGCATCTTCACAACTCAGCAAAGCCTCACGGTGAGGTTCTCATCCTGGCATACTGGAACAGCTCTTGGTCTGCTCCAGCACAGCTGGCTACAGATGTTATTTTTTAACTCCAGGAGGTCCTGGCTGTACCTGAATGTTGCATTTTACTTCTGCTCATTGATGCTACCGAATCTGTTACAGCTCAGGGGTAGCAGGGGTGGCAGCAGAAAGCTGAAAGAAAGCTACAGAGCTGCTGCTGTGCTTCCACCTCAAGTCACAGAGAACATAAATCTGTCAATAACCCATTGCACACCGGATACAATGCAAGTATTCATGGTTTGCTGCTTATCCCTTTTTCTTTTTGTGATTGTTAAGTGCAGAAATGCCCACTTCCTATCCAATCACTACAGAATTGTCATCCAGACTCCCCCCACTCCCAGTCTGCCCCAGATTCCTCTTCTGCAACATCATCTACAATACCTGAGAAGCTGCTGGGTTTCTGCTCTGTAGTGATGCACAGTCATTCTGAACACCCTGAACCAGTGCAATAACATCAATTGAAGTCACAGGAAAGACTGATGTATTTCCTTAACATTAACCTGCAGCAAGGATAAATCCATCTGTCTGGGAAGAGCTGAAAAGCTACATGTTGATCCCTCAGGTACACACACAAGTAAAACACACAGCCTCTACCTGCCCATCTGTGACTCAGTTTACAATGAAGATATGTAAGAATTTTGGGCTCAGCATCATCCTGTTGAGCAGAAAAACCCCCTCAAAGCCAGATTTTCCTCAAACAAGCTGTAGTTATTCATTGTGTGCCTGAAATACTAGCAGTGTTAGCAGAAACTGATTAGTGAAGGGCCAAAATCAAAGTAATTGCACATTTGCCTCTCAGATGTAGTCACCTTTTGAGAAGTGTCCGCAGCCTACAATGATATTAGTCTTTATTCCATTTGTTTACTACTCATTAACCATTAAATAAATGCTTTATCTTTCTGCTACATCTCTAATTTTGCAGCATCACCCACTGCTTGTTTACAGGAGTCTAAATGAATTTGTCTTCACTTTTTTTTTTACATTATTTTTAAACCTCACCACCCCGCTTTTGTAGTTTGGCACAGCTTGTCCTCTTATCATTTTCCACTGTGGACAGTGATGTGTCAGGCAGCTTTGCTCACCAGAATGTGCACGTAGCCAGCACCATCTCAGCACCCAGATCCTACCATGCTGCCTTCCCAATCCAGCACACGAGTGTCTGATCCTCACACCACTCAGGTAAACAGCTCTGGGTCACAGCCGAGATCCAGTGCTCAGTAATATTAAATGCCAAGGGTCAGTTACAACGCAGACACTGCTGTCATGAAGGAATAACACAATTGTGCCACGGGGACAGAATCCAACCTTGCCCGTTGTGTGAAGCCACCGCTCTGCTTGGCTGCGTCCCAGGCATGTTCCTCCCTGCCTGTTTGTGTTTTCCCTTCCACATCCAGCTCAAGGCAGTCTCAACTGTGCCTTTATACAGTGTCCCTACTCACTTTTTGGGCCACCCTTCCACCTAATCTTTCTTTTCAGGGTCTGCAGTATCAAAGGTCTCCCCTCCATTTCAATTCGCTGACCCTAATTACATTATTATGCTGTAGTAAAGAATTAAGTTGTATTAAACACCTTTTAACACAGACACTTCCCTTGGTATCACAGCAGACAATTAACGTCTCTTTAAAGCCCCTCATCTTACGTTTGCCTTCAGTTTGCCATATCCAAAACATTCCCTATTCCCTTCTCTCCACTGGACCCATTTCTCAGAGTCCGTTTGACCCAACTCATAGAGAAATTCATCTTTGTGATCTTTCTGAGGTACCATTCACTTCTACACGACCCTTCATCACGTCTCACTCCCTGACGTGTTCAGAGAGCTCTTCCTCCACGTTCCTCTGCCTGCCAGGGGCTTGTCCTTATACCGCCTCGGAGCGCACTCATTCTCCCTCATTCTCCCTCTCTCATTCACATTTTCAGCCAATCCTCCCCTTTTCCTGCGGTTAGACATCACTAGTCCAGCCACGCACTTTGTGTCAGAGCAATGGTGACTGTCAGAAGAAACTGTTAAACCAGCAAAGGCAAAAACGAAAGGCTAAGAGCAAATCCGGTCTGTGTTATGGCTGTGGAGCAACACAGGAAGGGACACCGGTGTTTGAACATCATCATTACGTCAGTGATGATTTAAAAGTGCCGGTTCCGTGGATAATGCATCAGAGGTGGTGCCTTCGATGGAGGTTTGCAGGACACGTCCTGCGCGGTGCTGGAGTTTGGGACAATCCCAGGGGTGCTCACCAGAACTGAGGGGCGCCCATTGTGCTAAATTAGGGCACTGAACGTCAGCGGGAGACAGCAGGGGAATCTGTGAAGGAGAACGGACGGAACAAGAGCTCTGCTGTTTCTCCTCCCAAGGAAACCGATTAGCTCTGTGCAGTGCAGGGGAATCCGGAGGGCAGCTCCAGCCCTCACCGCCACCCAAAAAGAGCAGATTAAAAGCTCCCACAATAATGGGAACCCGGCAGTACATAGGGTCTGCCTGCTAACCAAGGACGACCAGAACTCGGACCGAGCCCAGATCGCCACCGCGGAGCCGCCGATGGAGGTGCAAGCACCCCGCTATTCCCTTTCACACGAGAGGAAGGACGGCGGTGCCCCGGCTCCTCCTGTTCGGGAGGTGTGGCAGGCAGCCCGCGCTGAACCCCCCCAGCCCAGGCTCGCTCCCAGCCCCACGCTTCTCCCGGTGGATGGGACGGAAAGGACTTCGGCAGCAGCGCCGCGCTGATCTGAGCCCCTCTTCTTTGCCAAGGCAGGCTGTGCCTGCTGGCAGAGCGAGCAGTGCTGTCAGGATGCCCTTTAAAAAGCTCACAGCTGCTCCTTGGGACGCGGGAGTGGAGATGACTTTTAGGTACCAGCAGAGCGGAATAACGATATTATATGCAAAGGATGTCTAGATTCCCACGAAAATCCTCATTATTCTCATCGAGGCACAGAAACAGGGACCCACTCCATGCTATTCAGTACATCGCAGGCAAGATCTCGTTTCTTTAACACGAGGACACAGATTGGTCTGGTGACCCCCAGTCAGAGACTACCGCACTTGACGGAAGCTGCCGGGGAGGACACCCGCGACAGCGGCTACGGGGGCTCAGTCCCGCTCGTGCGGCAGCAGCGGCTCCGAGCCGAGCACCCGGAGTCTCTGACAACTCCGAGGCAGCCGTGCCGAGCATTTCCCTGCCTGTGAAATCTCGCTTGGAAGCTGCAAAACATCCCTGGGCCACCACGGCGGAGCGGGCGCTGCTGCCGCTCCCCGTCCGCTTCTCCCGCCCCCGGAGCCGCCGCGGAAGCGCTCGGCAGCGCTCCCGCGGCCAGCCCCGCCTCGGCTGCCGGGACTGCGCTGTGCCAGCGTCGTGGTTTGACACGGAAAAACCATGACAGCCTGATAGCACCGCCCTAATCAGCACCGCCCTCCGGAACGACGGGCGGCGGTAGGAACAGCCTGCGCTTGCGGCGACTGACAGCTCCGCGCGCAATTGGCATCGTTTATTCAGGGCACTGAGGGATATTCCAGAGCCTTCTGTCAACCACTCCTGCCCAGGCTGTTCCACGAAGTAAAAGCATCCACGAGCTGTTTCCAAAGTTAAGACTGCTTTATGTTTCTAACAGAAATATTGAAATATTTTCTTGATACTGTACATCTATAACACACCCCGACAAATTCTTCAACTCATTACTACAGTCAAAGAAACCAAGGGGAAACCGAACAGCAGCCAAAGCCTTCCCTGCTTCAAACGATCGGCACTGAGATCCCTGCATCACCCTTGATCATAACATAAAGAAAGGAGTCACTTCCCACACCTGAGCGCAAATGCTGTTTCTCCATCTCCTACGTAGGTAGTTAAATATGTTTATAAGCTTAAAACAGACGTTTTTCCTTTAGAAAACAGTAGTTCCATCACACTCATGTGAATAAAGGACAGATGTAACAGTTCTGCAGGGCTGGGGTAAGCCTTGCTACTCACAAGTGAAGTAGTGTCAGAACCCCGGTCTGATTCAGGGGTTCTGTGTGGGGGTAAAGTCTCTCCTTCCACCTGTGCTTCCAAAGAAAGGCTCAGCAGTCTCTGTTGTTCGGTCCCAAGGCAGTTTATTGCAAGTTATCTAAAAGATTTTCTCCTTGGGCTGCTGTGGTTTGCTCAGAGCTCAGGCAGAGGCACACACACACCCTGACATCCTCTCTGACTCCCGACTGCTTCTTCTCTCCCCGCCCAGGGCTGCTGCTCTCTTTTATATGGTACATTACGTGTTACATGTTTACAGT